ATTGCAAATTGCCAAAAAGGAGTTCGAAGAGATGCTGCTCAATGGCACAGCGCGCAGATCAGAGAGCGCTTGGTCCTCACCACTGCACCTGGCACGAAAAAAAAACGATGGCTGGCGCCCCTGCGGGGATTATAGGTCATTGAACGCACGAACTATACCGGACCGATACCCTGTTCGTCACGTGCAAGACTTTGCCAACCAGCTGGTGGGTAGCACCATCTTCTCGACCGTAGATTTAGTGAAGGCTTATAATCAGATACCAGTCTTTGAAGAGGATATACCCAAAACAGCAATCACTACACCCTTCGGATTGTACGAATTCCCGTTCATGACGTTCGGGCTTCGCAATGCCGCTCAGACCTTTCAGCGCTTCATGGACGAGGTCTTGCGAGGAATAGATTTTTGCTACGGATTCTTGGACGACATTTTAGTATTCAGTCACAGCAGTAATCAACACCTGGAACATCTGAAACTACTCTTCAGCAGGTTGAGAGAGTATGGAGTTCTTATAAACACTAGCAAGTGCACGTTTGGCCAATCAGAAGTGAATTTCCTCGGTTATAGAGTGTCCGCAGCCGGGTTACAGACTCTTGACTCCAAAGTGCAAGCCATAAAGGACTTCCCAGCACCCAAAACAATAAAAGACCTGAGAAGATTCCTCGGGATGATTAATTTTTATCGTCGCTTTATTCCAGCTGCAGCTTCCTTACAGGCACCGCTACACAAACTTATATCAGGTCCAAAAGTAAAAGGTTCACAGCCAATCATCATGACGCCGGAGCTGCTAGAGACATTCGAGAACTGCAAACAGAGTCTTTCCCAGGCAACGCTCTTAGTACATTCAGATCCACATGCAGAGCTATCGATTCAGACAGACGCGTCTAAAATCGCAATCGGAGCAGTCCTTCAGCAACAAAAGGACCAGGAGTGGCTTCCACTGGGTTTCTTCTCCAGGAAACTGAGCCCGTCGCAGAAGATGTATAGCCCATATGATCGCGAACTCCTGGCTATCTATGAGGCGATTCGGTACTTTCGCTACATGGTTGAAGCAAGGAACTTCTCGGTAATAACCGACCATAAACCGCTGACTTTTGCCTTCACTTCACCCAGAGATAACTGTTCCCCCCGCCAGTTCCGATACCTGGACTATATCAGTCAGTTCACTACAGATATTCGATTTGTGGCTGGCAAGGACAATTTGGTAGCGGATACTCTGTCACGTACTAATGAAGTTAGTTTGCCCCTAGATTACCAATCCTTGGCCTGCGAACAAGAAGACGACGCGGAGTTGCAGGAACTGCTGCGGAATGGCTCTAGTCTTAAACTGGAAAAGATAAGACTATCAGAATCAGGACTGGAGGTATACTGTGACGTCACCGCAACTCCACGTCCATTCGTAACCAAGACATTTAGGAAGCAGGTCTTCAACTCGCTTCACGGTTTGAGTCATCCAGGTGTTAAGGGAACAGTCCGGTTAGTAACAGAAAGGTTTGTCTGGCCTGGAGTAAAGAGAGACTGTCGACAGTGGGCCAAAGAGTGTCAATCGTGTCAAAGAAGCAAGGTGACAAGGCACACAACAGCGCCTTTAACAGAGTTCCAAACACCATCAGCTCGTTTTCGCCACATACACCTAGATTTGGTTGGTCCTTTACCCTTATCTTCTAGCTACAGGTACTGCCTCACAGTCGTCGATCGTGTCACGCGTTGGCCTGAGGCATACCCACTGCAGGACATCACGGCGGAGACCTGTGCGGCTGCCCTAACCACCGGGTGGATCGCGCGGTTCGGCTGTCCCGAGCACATCACCACTGACCGGGGCAGGCAGTTCGTGTCTCACACTTTCAAAGAGCTCGCCGCCCTAATCGGGGCATCTCACCACCTAACAACTGCTTATCATCCCGCAGCTAACGGCCTAGTGGAGAGGCTCCATCGTCAGCTCAAGGCTGCTATTACCTGCTACAGCACCACGAACTGGGTAGAGGTGCTGCCCTGGCATTCGCAGCGCGTGGAAGGAAGATCTGCAAGCGTCAGCAGCGGAACTAGTCTATGGGGAACCACTACGGTTACCTGGACAATTCTTCGAGACAGTGGATGCGACTAGTTTGATAAGTAGACTCCGTTCGCACGTGACCAAGCTGACACCACAACCCACGTCTTGGCACACTAGTTCCAATCGCCCGTTTTACGTGCCTAAAGACCTTGACAAAGCAACCCATGTCTTCCTACGTGTGGGTCCAGCGCGTAAACCACTTGAAGCTCCGTACCTGGGCCCATTTAAGGTACTTCACCGCGACCGCAAGACGTACGACGTAGAAGTAAAAGGGAAGGCCCAGAGGGTCACAATAGATCGCTTGAAGCCAGCATTCGTCGCAAGAGAGACACCAATCACGACCACGGACCATCCGGCACGGCAGAGCTTAATAAGAAAAACAAGAAGTGGACGTACAGTCAGATTTCCTGATTACTTTCGCCCGTAGTCACGGTCTCACCGGGGGAGTGGTGTGGCGAGTAGGCGAGTACCCCTATGCGTTAGGACGAAGCATTAGATCATTCGATCTACGTCACATGGCGTGATGTTCTGCACGTGTAAGGGATAGATAAGGAAAGCCCCGCCTACCGCAGGATGGCCGCCCACTTTCTATTGTGCTACCAGCGCGCGCGCAATATAGTGGACGCACATCTTTTGTTCCACGCCGACGCCCACATTCCGAAGTGCCAGGATCGAACCTTTATTATTATTAATTGTTTATGTATATAAATACCGTGTCGCATTATATTAAAATTCATTCTGTCTTCTGTTATCAACTTGGTACAATAAAGAACTGATTACTCCGTTGCCGAACTCTTTAATTAATTAGTAGTAAAACAAGTATTACTCGCTTCGCTTATAGTGATTTATGATAACAACTCATAAATAGTCGGGGGATTAACACGTTCAACAACACTAGAACTGGTGCGGGTTCGATTCCAAACCACTTCGCTTCACGAGTGCAAGTTCGCTCCGAACCACTTCGCTTCGCTAGTGCGAGTTCGATTCCAGCCTAATTCGCTCGACTAGTGCGGGTTCGATTCCAGTATATCCCACTCCACATTATATTGAGCAGTTTTGTCATAGGATGGTGCAAGAGGAGCGTGGGATCTAGGTTTAAGCAAAATCGTTTTGCGATGTGATTCGGTGGGTTGGCTTCTAGCAGCATTAGCATAGTTGCGGGACGTAACAGGTATCAGTTTACGTGCTTCTATGTAGGATATGGCTTTTTCAACCATAGATGTCTTAATTGCCCACTGTCTTCCATACTCCGGACAATCCTTACTGTTAGCAAATTGACTCCCAGAGCAAAGAATGCAGAAAGCATCTGCCGCAGCAACAAAAAAACCGCTACCTGTATAGTCAAGCCCGCACTTAAGGCAGCGGGGCTTAGACCTGCAGGCTGCCGCAACATGACCAAACCTACAGCACTTGTGGCATTGGATGGTTGGGTATATATACTGCTGTATAGGGAGAGATGTGTAACAGCAACACACTCTCTTGGGAAGTGTCTGAGCATCAGAGGTTATGACGCATGTTTCAGTGGGTTTCCATTGGGTGACTTCATCTATTGTAACTTTGCGATTTATTCGTCTGATTTATAGGATGCGATCACAGCCTGAGGGTACAGATATATAATCCATTGCCTCTTCCTCAGTCAAGTCAACTGGCACCCCACTAATGACACCCATACGCGTGATATTTATAAGATGGTATGAAGGCATTAAATTAATTTTTTTGTAAGATGGGATTGTTTAGAAAGGCATTGGCATCTTGGGCAGACGAGAACTCGATAGACACTCGATTCCGACCAACTCTTTTAATTCCGTCTTTAATTATATTACTTATATTGTTTTTGTATAAGAGTATGCCTAATGACACTGGGTAGAGAGTAGTGCCCGAATTGGGTTGTAGTTCTATCCGCGAAACATGCACAATGAATGAAGTTTTATCTTCTGCTGTATAATAGTCTCGAGCTACTTGGCTCTTCGATTGCTTAGTGGGACGACCAGAAGAGGGTTCTTCCTCAACTGGACGTTTCCGGTTTTGAGCGTCAGGAATATTGCAAACCACTTCTGCAAACTGTGTCAATGGGTTTACTGAGGAGCCTACTAAGAGGAGCGGTAGGAAAGATTGGGGGAGAGGAAAAAGTAGGAGTTGGAGGTGGATTATCATCAGGAGGGTCGGGGGGTTTTTCTTTACCGATTGCTAATGAATGTCTTAATATAAGACAATATATATTATATTAAAACCTCACAATACCTTATCCCGGTTAGTACTACAATATATATACACAAGAAGTCACAGATTTGGTCCAATGATCACAAAAACACTTAATATTCGTAAACTTTCAAGGCACACGTGCTATCCAAACACACGATAACTTGACAGTCCACGGATAAGTCGTTCAGTTGATGTGCGCCTAACAACAGATGTATCTAGTGTATGACGGTGCCCCTTGTATGAATCTGCCCCACTTCCCTCGGGAGTTGGGGCACCTTGATACGATTTTTAAAGATAAAAGATATTGACAGTAACATCCAGTTTAATAATTATAATATATTCAATATATATTCAACTAACTTGTTAAATTCAAATTAACCATTAGATTTAATCACAAAAAGTATTGTGAAGTGTAGACTCCAATAAATATAAAAATTAGTTATTATCTGTGACACAATATCTCTTGTCTATGTAAAATGTCTATGATTGTCTATTGCGGTTAAGAAATCTAATAAAGAGATATTTTCTCCACCGAGTTTTATTAAATTACAACATCACAAACATTCTGCAAGCCCATAAATCATCACAGGTTATGGGCCCAGAATACGCCACTGCATAAATTACGGCGAGAGCAAACATATTGTGAGAGATTTTCGCTAACTGTGTTGGCCGTGTCGAGATTTTGAGACGCCATCGGACGCCATTGTGTGGTTATTGAATTCGCCGGTCGTCGTAAGAGTGGAAGAAAATGGATCTGTCGCGGGTTATTCTAAAGGCCAAAGGCCTATTTGAGATCGTGGAGGGTTCCATACCTAAACCTGGCAAAGATAAACCGACGGAGTACCAGGATTGGATTTCAAAAGATAGTAAGGCGCAAGGTTGGATTGTTTTCCATATTGAACAAAGTATAATGACACATCTACTTACTGCCACTACGTCTGCCGAGATGTGGACGAAATTAAATAATATCTACGAAAAAAAATCGTCAACATCATTGCACCTTGAGCAACAGAAGTTTTATTATCTCAAATGCGATACTGATATTTCCCTATTTTTCTCAAAAATAGAAGAGATAAGAGCAAATATTCGCCAGTTAGGCGATGATATATCTGACAAGATGGTTATCACCAAGGTACTTATGTCGCTACCAGAAAAATATCGCCATTTTATTGCAGCTTGGGAATCGGTCCCTACAGAAAATCAAACTGTAGGAGAACTAATGGCAAGATTGTTGATTGAGGAAGAACGCAACATGTCTATTTCAACAACTAGTGTTCACTTCCCTTCGCGGCACCGTGCGACTAACGTGTGACTTCGTATGCTAACAATTTTAATATTGTTTTCTGTGCTTTTATGTGACTAGTTTCCGGTTTGCGGGCGGCTAAAGGTTGTGAATAGTGTTTCTAAAGAATTTCAGTAAGTTTTATTGTTTTATAAAGATAAATATAGTGCCGAATTCTTTTATTACGACTATTGGTGAGTAAATTTATTTTCTTTCTAAAAGTGGGTAGGAAGTATCCTTTGTTTAAATTGATTTTTCTCTGCGTATTGTTTATTTTTAAGCTTGTTTTTGTTTTCTTTTTTAAATTGTTGATTGGTGTATCTTTGTTTGGCTACGTCGGTCGTTAGCGAGTTGCCGGATCCCGGCGGTACAAGTGAATTTCTAACACCAACCGGGAAAAGGACATTTGGCGAAGTGTCACCTGCGGATTTCACGCCGAAAGACGGAAGCCGTAGACGCATTATTAATTCGGACTTAAGTGGAAATGTTTCGTCTCCTACCGGTCGTGATAACTGTGGGGAATACAATTACTGTGACTTAGTGTCACAGGCCACCGATTACTTATCAAAAATTAATGAATTAGTTAATGATCAGGGATCTCGGATGAATGTAGGGAATAAAACGGCGATTATGGATATTACTCAACGAATTACCGGTATCGTATCAATGTTAGCAATAAAATCCTTCAGCAACGAAGCGAAGTTAGCGAATTTTGAGCGACAAATGGAGGGTATCGCAACTCAACAAACGAGTTTAACGTACGCGGACAAACTTAAGCTTCGCTTACCACCTAAATCTGCCCCGTGCCCGGTACGTACTGAAGCGCGCGTTCCTATAGATAAAATAGATATATGTAATAACGACATTAACAAAATGAAATAATTAAATTAATAAAAAGTATTTACGAGAATAAACTAACATAGTTACAATGAACAAAAATGTTTACACATTAAATAAGTACATCATAAGAACATTAACACATTAAATAAGAATATAAATAAGTCCGCTACATCACCCCCCCCCTGGAGACCGTCCTACGGGCGATAATAGTCAGGAAAGTGCACTTTGCGGCCTGACCGCGTCCTTCTAACATTAAGTTCCTCAGGATCAGGTTGACTGGGAGTCTGGGATGAGTTATGTAGTAGCGGCGTGTATGATGTATGTTGGTTTGTGTCTGAATTTAAATGTGTATTTCTGGTGTGTGAGTCATGCAATATGTAGGCTGGTTTAATACGGTCTACTGATACTGTGACTTTTTTACCGTTCATAAGAATAGTTAACACTTTATCGTTCCTTTGAAGTACCTCGTAGGGGCCTGTATATGCAGGTTTTAGGGACCCGCGGTTTATTTCTTCCCTAAGTAAGATGTGGGATGCTGTAGCGAGATCTTTAGAAACGAACACTGTTCGATTCCCGTGTCGTGATGCTGGTAATGGCTGTAATTGCCTAGCAAACATACGAATTCGTGACAGGTAGTCGGTCACGTCATTAAATTCGCTTCCTTGGGACTCTAAACACTCTCCAGGTAATCTAAGGGTCTCACCGTAAACAAGCTCGGCTGGAGAAGCTTTAATGTCTTCCTTATAAGCACTCCGTATACCAAGAAGTACTAGTGGGAGAGATTCAACCCAGTTATCAGTGCCGTGACATGTAATTGCAGCCTTCAACTGCCTGTGGAATCTTTCCACCATACCGTTACAGGCTGGGTGGTAGGCTGTGGTACGCTTGTGTTTAAAGCCGATTAATTCTGATAGACGTTTAAACAAAGCTGATTCGAATTGTACCCCCCGATCGGTGACGATATCCACGGGACATCCAAAACGAGCTATCCATCCATATAGTAAGGCATTGACCACAGTCTCAGCGGTGATATCACGTATTGGTATAGCCTCTGACCAACGTGTGAATCTATCAACAGCTGTGAGACAATACCTATGTAACTGAGACATAGGCAATGGACCTACCAAATCTATATGGATGTGCGCGAACCTCGCTCGTGGTAATTTATACGTGCCGACCGGTGATAAGGTATGCCGAGAGACTTTGGACCTTTGACAAGCTAGGCATGCCTGTGTCCATGTTCTGCAGTCCTTCCTAATACCCGGCCAAACATATCGTTCAGCAACAAGTTTGGCAGTTGCTTTAGCACCTGGGTGGCTAAAGGAATGCAGACTCTCGAAGACTCGATGACGAAGTTCCTGTGGGACGTATGGTCGGGGGGTGTTGGTACTCACGTCACAGAACAGTTGAGTATCCAGTGTTCCCGGAACTCTGACTTTTTTTAAGCACAATGATGTGTTACGTACCAGTAGTCTGCTTAACTCCGTGTCGGAGTCTTGATGCTTTGCCAACTGTTCTAAGTCTACTGGTATAGCAATTTCCTCTATCCTGGATAAGGTATCTGCGACAACATTGTCCTTACCAGATATGTGCCTAATGTCAGTGGTAAATTGGGATATAAAATCTAGATGCCTGAATTGTCTGGGCGAGCAGTTCTCCTTACGGGAGTGAAATGCGTAGCACAGAGGTTTATGGTCAGTAAATACTACAAAGTCCCTTGCCTCAACCATATGTCGAAAATATTTTATTGCCTCATAAATGGCTAATAGTTCACGATCATAGGGTGAGTACTTACACTGTGAAGGACTTAGCTTCCGGGAAAAGAAAGCAAGGGGTTGCCATACGCCATCACCTCGCTGCTGTTGTAGTGCTGCGCCTAATGCCGTGTCTGAGGCGTCAGTTACTATGGCCAACTTGTATTGCCTATTCGGGTGTGCTAACAAGGTAGCATTACATAGGCTTGTCTTGCAAGCCCTGAAAGCTTCATGCTCGTCCTCGGTGAATGTAACAGGGTGGGAACCCTTTACAGAACCTTCCAGTAGCACATTCAGAGGCGCTTGTTGCTGTGCAGCGTCAGGAATGAAGCGCCTGTAGAAATTAAGCATTCCTAAGAATCGCCTTAATTGTTTCACAGTCTTTGGGGCTGGGAAGTCCTGGATGGCCTGGACCTTGGCTGGGAGCGGCACAGTGCCTTTGGCTGATATGCGATAACCTAAGAATGTTACCTCTGAAGCACCGAAAACACACTTAGATGTGTTGATGACCATGCCGTACTCCTTCAGCCTGGTGAATACCTCTCGTAAGTGGCGTTTATGGGTTTCCTCATCCTGTGAAAATACTAAAAAATCGTCCAAATATGGGTAGCAATAGTCCAGCCCGCGAAGCATCTCATCTACGAAACGCTGGAAAGTCTGTGCGGCATTACGAAGACCAAAGGTCATGTACTGGAATTCGTAGAGGCCAAATGGTGTTGCGATGGCGGTCTTCGGAATATCCTCAGGGTTGAGTCTTATCTGATTGTACGCTCTGACCAGGTCTATGGTAGAGAAGACCTTACATCCCGAAAGACCATGCGCGAAGTCCTGGATGTGGCGAATAGGGTACTTATCTGGGATGGTCCTAGCATTAAGCATCCTATAGTCCCCACAGGGACGCCATCCGCACTCCTTTTTAGGAGCCAGATGAAGTGGAGAAGCCTACGGTGAGTCAGAAGGCCTGGCTATACCCAGCTGTAACATAGTGGTAAACTCCTCATTAGCGATGTTTAGTCTATCAGGAGCCAGCCTACGTGGTTTACATGATACAGGCGGTCCGGGTGTAGTACGTATGTAGTGTACTGTATTGTGTTTAGGTGTTGAGTGTGTGCCAGATGGGCGAGTAATGTCGGGAAATTCCATTAGTAAACTATGATAAACAGACTCACCAGTGACAACCTTAACCGAAGAAATAATGTCACAAGGATAGACAGGCAAAGCCACGGTCGCGAGGCTTGTGTTGTTATCCACTAATTTCTGATTCCTGCAATCAACAATCAAGTTAAAGTGAGACAAAAAATCTGTCTGCAATTACGAAACGCCAGGGAAAGTCACGGCGCAACCCGAGATTTAATAATAGGTTTATATAACCGTAAGTCTGTATTCTACTGCCATTAGCAGCACACAATTCATAATTTGTTTTATTTAGTTTTTGATTTAACATTTTAATTGGAAAAACACATAAGTCACTACCAGTGTCAATTAAAAATTGTACCTTCGTTTTCACATCCGTAACGAACAGGCGACCGGTAGTCGGACGGTCATTTGTCGCCATTACCGACCGCCCGCGTCGTTTCCCGAGTAGTCGCAGGGTTTAACACAACATTTCGCTTTACCCCCAAATTTGGTATGATACCAACACAGGGGATGGGTAATTAGAAGCCGACCTTGTGGAATGAGATCGACGACGATGACGGCTACTGGAACGGTTTTTATCTCGTCCTTGTCGTGTCGCTCGTGATCTCCTGACCTCAGTTGAAAGCGTTCTAACCTGTTCAGTGAGCGCTGCTATTTGTCGCTCCATTGTGGCTACTAAGCTGTCTGGTGGTGTGTGGGAGGTGGAGGCTACGTGTTGGTAGGATGGGATCACATCGTGTATGCGGTCTGCCAGGTCTGCCAACTCCTCCAAAGATGCTTTCAGCTGCGATGCAATGATTGTTTGCGTCCCTTGCGGTAGCCGACTCGACCAAATGGTTTTTAAAAAATCTTCCGGTACACCGGGGCCAGCTAAATTTTGCAAGTGTTGTAAAAATTGCGACGGCTTTCTGTCCCCAAGCTCCTCATGGGTAAGCAGCTGCTTCACCTTCTTTTCACGACTTGCTGAGAGTCGCTTGATCAACTCCGCTTTCAGCTTATCGTATTTTTCGCTTGTAGGCGGTGATGTAATAATATCTTCTACCTCCGCCGCATATTGTGGCTCCAGTTGGGCGATGGTATAGTAGAACCTGGTCGTATCACTCGATATGTTCGACAGGACGAACTGCCCTTCCAGCTGAGCGAACCACAACGCTGGTTTCTCTGAGTAAAATGGTGGTACCCGCACGCCTACGCGGCATGACTCCGCGTACTCCTGTTCTTCTTTCGGCATTTTTTTTTGCAGTATTCTTCCTCGTGATCACGTCGGGGTCACCAGTTATAGGATCGCGTGTGTAGCTG